CCCTGATTTCCAGAGGTGAGTGTGATGGGTGCCCCAGACTTTATTTTTCTTTTCTGTATGACTCTAAATGAGTTGTGGCTTTTGCCTGTGGTACTTACTCTTCATGTGTGTTTTTATTATAGAGATTGTGTTCGTTTTTTTGCTTCAACTCCTCTCTATCAGCAATCGTATGGCACGTACTACCCTCGTGGGGTGAAGCCGTTCTATTGCTCCGCTTCAGTAGCGTGCTGATTCATACGAAGCACATGCCACTACTTCGTAGTGAACATAGTGGCATGTGCTTCGTACTAAATTTTGAATACCTTTGTTTTTTGTGTGCTGTTTTTGTATGGCCCTGCAAGTACTTCTAGTCTTCTTCTAAACTGTTTTGTGCCATCGATTTGTTGTTAGAGTTGCCTCTTTAAGGTCATGATAATTTGTTAATTTATTTGTTTTTATAGATTATTTGATAAAATGTCATACTTATGTAATCTTTGGTTTTCTAGAATTTTTTATTTAGTTTTTAAATAAATAATTATCAAGTTTTATTTTCAATACCAATTTTCCATTAAAATTTGGAAGAAAAAAAATATTTTGTAGCGTAAATTTATCTCAGCTTTTATTTGTATACTGAGGAAACATATTACTTATATCTTAAATACTGTATATTAAAAAGAGAACTTTATGGCATCATGTCATTTTTATTCCAAAAAAAACGTATTTGGAAACTTTGAATTATTGCAAAGACCTTACCCTGTCAAAATTTCTCCAAAGTCAAAATCAACTTGTGGGGTGCAATTGAAGGGGGTGGGAGGGTGTTCGGGTCGGGGCGGGGTGGGGGGGTTTACCGGGGGGTTAGAGGGGGTAGGAATCGTCAATTTTACGAATGGGGCACCGGAGCGCCCCCAGGTCATCCCATGACATTGGTTTTCAATGTCATTGGAATCTTGGTGTTTATTCAAAGGTATTTTCAAATCACTTTGAAAAATATTCTTAAAGGTATTGTCTATTTGAAATGTTATGTTGGAATGAAGGAAATAATATAGTTTGTCAGGGTTAGTTGAGGACTTGAGGAACACCTTAACATAGGGCTGAAAATTTTGGGATTGGCTATGCAAAATTAAAATTGATGTGGCGGGACGCAATTTCACGGAGGGAATTGATTAACTTCTAGTCCAATTATTGTTGGTAGGGGACTAGGGGTGAGCACAAAAGAACAAGATTTGAATCAAAAATTTATCTACAAAATTTGAGAAATTTACGCTATGTTCTCTTCACCTGATCGGATTGGAATAAGTTTCGATATGATCTGGTCAGATCTGATTTAATTTGATATGATTCGAATAAGAATAAATAATACAGAGTAAGTAATAAGAATAAGCTGAGGAGAACATGACCTTAATTGAAAAATTGATTAGTTGATTCTTATTTTTTTTATTTTTTGATTGATTAATCAGACGAAAAATGAAGTGATTCATAGATTGACTTTAGTTCACAATTTAAAACAATAATTAACCGACCTTTTCAATTTGATTTGATTAATAATATTGGACTAGAATGTAAGCATTCGTAGCGACTCAAGGAGTGGTGGATTTGATTCAAGTTGACCCTAATAATGGTATTAAAAAATCAATTCAAGATATAATTTAAAATACAAACGAGTGATTCACATGAATTGGAGTGTGCAAATCATTTATGTCATGATAGCAGAATAGTGTTTGCTAACGGGTTAGCAAAGATGACAACCAATCAGAGTAACACTTGGACTATCTTTGGTTCTCGTCTAGAGGAAGTTAATGATGCTTATTCCGATGATAAGTATGGATTACCAAGCAACCGAAAGGTTCGAGAAACTAGCTAGAGATGTCTTTCTGGACTTGTGCCATCCTTATTCCCCCATAGTTTGGGCCTATCATTGTTGTTAAAAAACACAAAACCATATCCGCACTGAAGTATTTGCTACTTTGATTTTTTAGGCAAACTGTACGAACTTCAGTTTTCAATTGCTCCCAACTTGTATTACATATAATACAATAAAATGAAATTTTGAAAGCTTTTAACAAGATAAATCTAATGGAATCATTTTCATATAAATATACATCATATTTTTTTATTTAATCGAGGTCCAAAACTCATCTAGTTTGACTCAAAAAAGTCAAACTAGATGAATACAATGAGACAAAGATAGTACTACACACTTGGTAATGTTTTTTAGTGATAATTTTTCATTTTGTGCATTAGTTAATAGATTTTGATAACATCTGAAGATATTTTTCATGATTAATTTATATTTTATGGCAGAAACGAAAAATTGTAAGATTTTTTGGATTTTTTAAAAACAGGTATGCACTCTTAACTTTGCACAACATTTAAAAAGGTGCCCTCAAACCATGAGGTCCCCTATTGGCTTTCCTTTGGGTTTGTGTTGGCACAATTTTTAGATACTCGCAACAAAGTCATTTTTGTACTGTCATTATACTAAAAGTTTTTTTTTTACGGCATAATAAAAGTTGATTAATTCATACTTAGGCATTGCTTTAGAAAACTAAATAATATAAATTTTGCAAGCAAAAAAATAAGTGTGAAGTATCTATCTACTTATTGCTTCTTTTAAGCATATACTATCTCATCATCCAAAAGTAAGAGTTTTTAGAAGTATGGTGATTTCTTGAAAAATTAGAAGTGATAAGTAAAATGTATAAATCAAATCATTTCTAAAGTTCATTTTATACTTCTAAAACTATAATTTATACGCTAAAACAAATTCTCAAACCATCAAAACTACGGAGTGTATTTTTTAAAGTGGAAGCTAAAAAGTTTTTCTCAAACACAATCAACCCTTTCTTGTATATTCATTAAAAAAACAAAAATTATTAAATACATTAAACTATATCTTAACTAAAGAAAAACTCAAAAGCAATTTTTAACCATAGCACCAAACACCCTCTAACTACCAAGTGATTAATTGTTGAGAAATTTACTTAAATATCACTAAAACATAATGACTCTCTCTAAATAGCACTACATGTATTTTTATTCCCAATGTAGCACTTTTAGTCATTATGCATTAGTCATTATTCAAGTAAATATTTGTTATCACTGGACATTATGGACATTATTAAGTGCTATTTAGGGAATAAAACAATTTAAGTGCTATTTAGAGAAATGACTTACGTTTTAGTGCTATTTAGTGCAAACTTTTCTTAATTGTTCCCTTTACTTAAAATTTCTGCGGAAGCACTTGAAAATACAAAATGAAATAGTAGAAAACCAATCAAAACGAATTTCATGCAAAAAATTAAATAAAAAAACAAACCTTTGTATTAAAGAGTATTATTATTGTTTGAGAGCATACAATATTTTTACAAGTGTAAAATAACAGCTTGAGACCTTAGTGAAAGAAAAAACAATATTTTACAAGTGTGTATAGTACACAGAGAGAAAGCAAGCACACAAGTTGAGACTATGTTAACTATACATGACTTCAAAAAAAATTTAAAAAAACAAAGATGTGTCCCGTCATCGATGAGGGCCCCACCCAGAACCGACCGGACAGTTCTTTCAGCGCATGGCCCTATGGTGTATGAAGGAGGGGAGTCGTTTGGCGGTCGTTGTTTCTGGGATAAGGGATAGGCATTAGAGATGGGTCTTGATAGGCTGTCTTCAGTTCTTCATAAAATGCAGAGGTTGAAGGGTCATTTTGATCACTTCTGTCCTTGCTTATTAAACTCTGTGTCAAAACATTGTAAACAGTCCATTCAAGGACATGAAACTGTTAGTCAAACAAAGGTCAAACTATACCGTCTTTCTTTACATATTTTCATCCTTAATTTGACCAAATAATACTCATGTCCCTCTTGTTTTGTAGAACTTACTCTTGTTTTGTAGAACTTTTGATATAGTTTTTAAATATATAAATATATTTTTTATTGCTACACCAATTTTAAAAAAAAGAATTGAAAATAAATTCAGCCAACCAATGTGAACCACGCTCCAATTCGGAAGATAAATGTAGGGCATTCCCTGTCTCAAAAAAGAATGCTCACATCCCCGTGTACCACCCTCCGGGTGCCGCCACATAGCACAAAAATGTGGCCCCATTTCATTGTTGTGCTACGTATTGGGTGGTACATGAGCCGGATAACATTTTTTTAGAGAAACTAATCTACTCTCAGCCTGTAGCTTGGGACATAGGGAAAAAAATGCAGTACAACTGCACAGCTTTTCCAGGCCATGGTCCTATTTAAACTCCCAATGGATACTAGGAGCACAAGCAAAATACAAAAACAAAACAAAAAAAAAAAGAAGTAAATTACTCTAATGTACCTCAGCTGAATAAGCCATGAATATCGGTAAGAACCTTCTCCGGCAGTAGCTATTGAATATAAGAGTGAGGATTGGAAGAGGGATGGTTAAGCTGGAAGCTAGTGAAAGTTTCTTCAACCCAAATATCCCAATAGCAATAAGATGCATAAGTATCAATGAAAATATTGTCGAATCGTGCACTATAGGCCAAAATTGTCCTCCCGTCTCAAACTTGGGTGCATATACATTTACGAGCTGCATAGAATTTTTCAGTGAATCCAACATCAAAGTATATAGTAATAGACTAATAGTATATTTTTTCATATACTACTCTTTCCATCCCCAAGAAAAGTCCTCTTTGTAAACTGAACTTTCTCCCAAAAGAGTTATTTTTTAGTAATTTTAAAGTAATATTTAAAAAAACATAGAATACATTCATTTTTTTGTTAAACAAACAAACATCTACAAAATTAAAGCTGGAATTGATGGTTTTGAATTGTTGTACCTTCCTATATAATTAAAAAAATGACCCTTGGTGAAACATTACTTTCTTTGGGTAAAGACCCTTGGTTAAACATTTCCTCTTTCCTGGGATGGAGGTAGTAATTATTTAAGTAGGAAAATTTGGAACTATTAGGGAATATAGTCTACCAACCTGGTGGCGATAAACAACATATCCGATACAGTAGAATATCACAATAAAGGGCAAGATTAGGGGTGCTAGAAAGAAATATGTTACACCAAGAAGGCCAAATAAAAGAAGCCGTGGAATTTCTCTGTGGTATGGTATTGATGGGACATCAAACTCTTCACTTGATGCGTTGCAAAATCTCTTCTTAAAAAAACTCAGAAAAAGTGGGTTTAGCTGAAGAAGCTCAGAGGCGGTGTTGGTCCATCCAGATGTCACAACATATGCAATGAAGAAAGTTGCCTGCCAAAGCAACAAAAAATAACAGAGATTTTGATGAATAACAGGAGCGCATTCTGCTTCATATTCTGTGATTCCCTATTACTTTTGTTCTGTGTTTCTCATAGTTTGTTAAAAGTATTCCACACCAGGAATTTACCACATATCGCCCACTATATAAGACATGGACTTCCTACTCTTCTGGGTTTTAAGGTTGAGAATCCTATGTTGCACTTATTGTAGTTCAGCCTCGGAAATTAATCTAGTATTCAATATCAGAAATTCACTCCCATATCACATACCATATGAGGACTTCCTAACTTTATTAGCAAGGTTTTAACCCTGAGACTGATACTCCACCTCATATATGTCGTTGTGCTTACATGGTTGGCGGCCTTATAACAAATTTATATCAAGAACTCAAATCAATGGGTAGTACACTCACCTGACTACCTTGTCGATGTCGGTTGTACGATCCTTACAAGAACTCGAGTTCTTTGTGAACTTTTGCCATTTCTTGGCTAGGTCTATTTTGTAAACGTTTCTTCTATAAGGTTTAGTATTTGGTATCTTGAAACTTCGTACGTGAAGAAAGATAGACTGAGTCACGTTATATTGGAACATACCTACTCTTCTCATAGTACCATCCAGGCACTAAAGAGAGAAACATCTGAAGAATGAGACTAGGAAGATATCCTGTAACCACTTCACTAACAAAATCTCTGCAGCATGCAAATGCACAAAAAAGGGGGGGGGGGTGGGGGGCTAACCTTTAGTAATGGCTAAAAGCTATATGCAACAAGAAACATCTACAAAAGAGACAGTGCCACAGTAGGGAAACATGAACTGCGGGTTAGATATAAAGCATGCGAATATAAATATATAATTGTGATTAAAATGGAACTTATGCAGTGTTACATTTGAGAAAATGAAGTTCATGGAAGGGATGTTGTTCCCTTCACTTTGAGAAAATGAAGTGCATGGTGTGTATATATCATTATTTGGCATCCCCTTTACCCCCATGCTAAAGAAGCTAGTATCAACCTGCATCTCCTTGCAGGGGAGGATAATGCATAGCTAAGACAAAAGAACTAAATACTTACAGTCGCAATACACCTTTTAGAAATGGGAACCAAATCTCGAGCTGTTCCAGATGGGTAAGACCTTGCACTATGAGAACAGGTATAAGGAACAGAACTATGAGAACGGCACACGCAGCATAAACAGCAACATTGCAAAACCATCTTTTGAAAAATGATGCGGAAAAGAAGGGCCAATATACATCATCTGGATCTGGAGATGGCTCAGTAGTCCATTCTGTGGGCTTCATGCCTTGCCGGATGTGTAAAGCCACTGCGGCTCCAAATCGTGTTTTGAAAGACACAAAGGCTGCTGCCACCTCCTAATATTAAATCATGTTTAGTCCATGACAGACGAGTATATGGTATCAATAAGCCTCACGTTAAAAAGAATCAATTGTAAGGACATATGGGGGTATGTCACTGCTCCCTCTGATTTAGGAAAAGTAAAACTGCCTAACGGGTAGAGGAAAAGTTGCCCTACCTTTTGGCAGTTAGCACCACTCAGTGGTGCAACCCCGCATGTCTACACACCACTAAATACAAAGGTAAGGGTGAGTGCAGTTTTTTTTGTTTAACTTTTACCCAAAACCGAAGGCCGGACAAAAAGTATTTGGCCAAAACTACCTTTGAAGATCGTTCCAGTCTGACATTGTAATCTATATCTTCTAGCTTCTTTTCATAGTGGTCCAAAAGATCAACTTTAGGGCCAAAGAGCCCCAAAAAGCCAGCACGCCCGAACCTCTCTTGACTATGGTCTAGTGTTTTCAAGTGGGTCAGCTTTCGGCACACCTTATCAGCTTCATTCTGCAATGCAATAGCTTAGAACTTGGGTGTATTGAAAGAAATCACACACATTTTAGCATCCATACTTAAAGCATATACTCCCTTTTGTAATCATGTGGGCTCTGCCGTGTTTGTCAAACATGTTCAATTTTGATTAATGCTTTTAGCTGACGTATTGCTGAGAAAATTATAAATTTTGTTTTAAAGTATTCTTAACAAAAAATAATTTCATACTTGATATTACTCTGTACTTTAATAACACAAATCAGTTTGTGCACATTTCCAATTGAGCAGAAAGAGTCATTATTGAAATTTTTTTAGCTTTGGGTAAATAATGCTTTTAATCAAATGGAACATTAAACTTCATTTGGTTCTTAATTTTCATGAAGTTTTGTGTAGTAAACGCAGGAAAGCATCAAGAGTCTAAAGGAAAAACTCTCTGTAATTTTTATAGGATAATGTCGTGTACATCTTAACCCCTTAGACCCCGACTGTGATGGGATTATACTGGTTTGTTATTGTTGTTTTGTAACATAAATCAGTTTTACACACAAATATACGGCAGGTCAAGGCTTAACATCTTTGACTAAAACCAGCAAAGCTTTATGGGATAGAGCAAGTAATTGCAATAACCATAACCTTCAAAGTAAAGAATAGAACTTTCACTCTGCAATTTGCATGATCTAGATCTCATCTCTTCAAATCATCAGGCAAGTCATATACACAGTACTTTATAAGAAAATGGGAGAAACATTAAAAGATCTTTTGTTAAAGAAAAAGAGCTTCAGCTGAAAAAAAAGTCTTGCAATATGTTGCATTACAATCTTACAATGAGGCCTTTGAGCTTTCTACTTCGGCGGACAACAGAGTGTGAGAGATATGCAGAAGGATAGTATTCCATAAAGAAGCTCTCAATAACTTCACTGTAGCTTTTCCCTGGCAATGCTGGAATACTTCGAACTAAAACCGTAAATTGATGTGGCTTAGGTTTTGATGAATTGAAACAGGCAAGCCTTTTAGATGAAATATGGTCATACTCCTGCATATCATAGAGTATCCCATCAAGAGGATGGCTTGCATTAGTTCAGGTAATTGCAAATCCATAAAATAAGGGGACATTTGTCACGGGTTACTTGGCTGAAATGCTAATCCACTGCATTTTAAGAAATGAAAAGCTCGGGTAACATCCATTTCAGCCAAATAAAAAATTCAAAAGCTGCTCATTTGGGCGATGAGCAAAAATAGCCTATTATGTGTACCAAACATAGCCTAAAGTAAAAATGGTGAAATACTCACAGCATAGAGAAGATAGCAAGCAAACACCGTGAATACATACACCGCAGAGAAGTGGATCCATAACCTTAGAAAGACCAGAAAAGACAACTTTTAGCTGTCGAGCACAATGACTATTAACCAGAAGTAAGCCTAAGCTATTTAGTAATGGTGAGTTGCTTATCCAAACAAGCATTAGCACAACTTAAAATTTCAAAATATGCATTTTTCATATAAATTGCATCACCCCATTGGAATTTCATTCCACCCTTTATGTAATTGTAAAAATTCACATTAGTTCAAATTATTTTCATGTATAAAATATATCAATTCCCTAGTCCCTACCATTTCTTATCTCTACAATAATCGACGTCATTCGAGATAACAAAAGGACAATATAGGCATCATCACCTCTTTGACCCATCATCAACATTTGAAATAGTGAATGACTCCAATGATTTGTTTGGCAGGTCAGTGAAATCAAGACTCAGCTGATTCCCCATGTAATTGAAGGGAAGGAGAAGGAGGACCCCAACTGCTGTAGCAAATGAAAACACCTTAAATCTGAAACATAAATCCAGGAGAAACCCTAAATCAGCCCGGGAAAAATCATAAGGCAAAAATGTTCATCACAGACAACAGATTGAAGCAGAAATAACCCTACCCGAATACAAAAATCCGCATGAAAACCACAGCGTCCAAGCCGGAAACTGATAAGAGCTCGTCGTCGGAGACACTCCAGGCTCTGGCAACCCAGCCGGCGGACGGAAACAACCTGTCAAGTTCGAATCGAGATGTCCCCTGAGACTCCCCCTCCGCAAGGAACCGCGGGGCGTAAACGTCGGCATTGCCGGGCTGCTTCCTCAAGACGGAGAAAAAGAGGGAGAAGACAGCGCAGAGGCCGAGATTGATTCCGACCGAAGTAAGAAGCGCCGAGAAAAGCATCGTTCCTGAAGCAGGTAGAGCTGCTAATTCATTCGAGATTCCTAAACAGATTCCTTTCTGGAGCGGGTTGGAGAAGAAATAATCAACAGAAGGAATCAGCTGAGAGAAGTAAATAAACTGGTTGAAGAAGAAGAAGAAGTAATTTGAGAGTGTTTTTATGGAGGAAGACGACGGCGGCGGCAATGTGTCACTATTTACATGGACGCGCGGCAGGCTAACGGAATGCTGTAGTCCTTTATTTTAACTTCCCTATTTAATGAGAAATTTTTACTCGTTTATAAAAGGATGAATAGAGTTATTAATGTTATTAGTGTTTTATAACTACTCTTTTAATTCGTACATTGTAATAGAGATATTAGTGTTTTAAAGAATTACGAGTAGTAATTTTGAGAATGCTTCATTTTCATAACTCTGTAGAAGTAATATTGGATTCCATTGGTCCCAAATTAAATATATTATGTGTTTTTTTTCATAAAATTTAAGAAAAGAACACAATTATATTTTTCTGAAATTTATAAATATTGCGAATAAACAGAGGGAAACAATATGAATCATCATTTAATTCAAGTTATCCTTAAAAGTAAAAAAGTCGAGTTTATTTCTACATGAATTTCAAGAACAATTTAGTGTGATATTGGGAATAAATGTCAACACATTGCTTTGAACGAAACAAACGTATGACCACGATGTGAACATACTAAAACATGTTTATGTCTTTTTCAACAAACGTCATGTTTGGGGTTTTTTCCTAAGTTTTTCTTTATTAGTTTGAATAATAAATCAAGAAAAGATAAATTTAGCTTTATGGTGTGTTTGGTTGGACGTAAAATATTTTCTAGAAAAATTTTGATTTTACTTTCATGTGTTTGGTGACATTAGTAGAAGGAAAATATTTTTCTACCAACAATAGATTATATGATTGAAGAATAATTTTTCTTGGAATAATTTTTCCTTTGGAAAATTTTCTTCAAAGAAAATATTTTACTTCCAACCAAAGACAACCAAATCTCAAATTGATTGATTGAAAGTAAAATTTAATTTTTATACGTAGAAGAGCCTCATACAAGACATTATCATTTTTTTCAAAATCGAAACAAAATGAATTATTTTTTTAGCTTTTCTTTCAACAAGTTGAACTGCGGCACGACAATTTTTCACTCTATAATGTTTGAGGGTCTCATTGATCATGAGTTCATGATCATATGTTGGAGGATTTATACTGACCAATAAATTTAATCAGCCTCCGTTTGATACACGAAATTCAAACTATAGAATTGAAATAGGGGACAACAATTCCAATTTGGTTGTTTGATAATAAAAAAAATACGTAGATTTGGAACTGATAGTGTCATAAATGAATTGGAATTGGAGGATTCAATTCCATCCAAATCAATTTCATAGAATTTCAACTCCCAATTCCATTCCAATTTCATGTACGAAGTGGACCCTCAGGCTCTGTTTGGTACATGGAATTCAAACAGTGGAATTAGAATTGAGAACAACAATTCTAAATTTACTGTTTGGCACCACAAAAAATATGTAGAATTTGAAATTGATAGCGCCAAAAATGAACAAGAATTGGAGAACTCAATTCCATTCAAATCAATTCTATAGAATTTTAACTTCTAATTCAATTCTAATTCCGTCAATTCCGTGTACCAAACGGACCTCAGGCCCGTTTAGTACACGAAATTCAAATTATGGAATTAGAATTGAGGACTTCAATTCCAATTCTGGTGTTTGGTAGCACAAAAATTATGTAGATTTGGAATTGGTATTGCAAAAAATGAATTGGAATTGATAAATTCAATTCTATGAAATTGAATCCCGTGAAATTTTAATTCCAATTTCATCAATTCCGTATACTAAACGGAGCCCATTGATTTTGGGAATAACTTGCACCTCAAACATAATTTTGAAAAATAAAGTTGAAAACTTCCTGCATAATTTTGAAAAATAAAGTTGAAGACTCTATTTAGAGACTAGGGATAAGCATAAGAAATAGATCAGTTGGACCACACTCGTTATCAATTTCACATCCATATTAACTTTGAAGGTAAAAAGAAGTTAAAATAGAGAAATATTCAACCCTAAAGAATTTCTCACTTTAACTCCAATTAAAAGCATTGAAAGATAATGAAAATATATTGAATAGTAAAAAGTGATCGATTAAAAGTTACTTCGTATTACTCAACGAGTACTTACACTATGTTTGGTTCAAGAAATTTTGAAAGAAAAAAAAAGAAAATAATTTTTTTCTCATTTTTCTCACCAAAATGGGAGGAATTTGGTTTTCTTTTCTCTTATTACATTTTGTCTTCTCATTTTCTTTTCCTTCCACTCTTCTTTTCTTTTCCTCTCTAACCAAACAAGAAAAATGTGCTCCTCATTTTCTTTTCTTTTTCCTCTCAAATTCTTTGAACCAAACATAGTCATAGAGTTCATTTAAACGAGAAAAACAAAGTGTTATTGATCAACTTTTTTAAAGGGTAAAATGAATGAAATGTTAATTTCCAAACACTACCTTATAAAAGAACAAAAAACGAAACTCATATTTTTATTTTTTGGGACATAGGATGTAACTTCAAGATACAAATGTACAAGGAATCAAGCATAACATACAAACAACCACTCAAACATGACTAAATTACACCCTTCCCTTGTATGTTAAGTTGCATTCTTAAATAGGCTGAATACTCTCTTCATCCCCAAAGAAATTCTCACTTTCCATTTCCGTCAGTCAGAAGATAAATTTTTCACATTTTTCTTACCATATGACAAAAAGCATCGAGTGACAACATTTTTCTCTAAACAAATTCGACGTGCATATTTCTAATTTTTCAACATTTTTTTAACTCCATGAAATCAAATCACAAGTTTGTTTGGAAATGAGGAGAGTTAATAACATGATGTTGACCAAAGCAATTCGACTTCAAGCTGAAAGATTACACCATACTAAAATGTTTCTGTACACAAAGCCACTAACCACTAACAAAGACAACAGTTTTTGTTCTCCCAAACGTTTGTCCTATGTGATGAACAAAGAACAAAATATTGTCTGAATGTGCATTGTATGAGGTGTGCATTGTATGAGGTGAACAAGATGGTGTACAAATTAGTGGGTACACATATGGCACATCCCATTTACAAATGAAGGAAATTTCTCACATGAACAAGGTATAAATGCATGTACCTGCATAGCATGTTCTCATCATTTCTGCAGAGGTTTTAAGCTCAAATTTCGCAAAGGACCTTTGAGTTCTTGATGTCTTGTTCGTTCCCATCATGGTATCAGCTTGAACTAACAAGTCATAAACTTAGACTTGATAGGTTTCCCTCTTGAACTCATTGTAATCGGCAATCAAGCTACCATTTACTTTGTTCCTCATGTTCTCCAGTAGCTTTCTTAGAACCTACACAGAAGCAGTTCTATATGTATCAAAATTGTGCATCCAAATGTTCCTTTTTATTGCTTAACTTAGAGGAAGTGTTTCTACCCTTGATCACACACATATTATGTCATTTTCCTTATCCACAAAAAAAAGTGAAAGTCCGTTACCAAAAGTGGAAATCTTGTCTCGAATTAAACTCATGAGTGAAATACGCAAGTACATGATGGGTACCTACATGTTAAGACTTAAGAGTCCTACATTGGGTCCTTAAGGATGTGTGCGTTTCTGAGGGAAGAAATGCACATAAAGTTACTTTAGTGACAAAATTTTAAAATGTTTTTCAGTTCTTTGATTGGGGTTAAAGTTAGTGACAAATTCCACAAAAAAGTAGGGTCTGGAGAGTGTGTGCAGACACCTTACCTCTACTAGGCAATTGAGATACTATTTCTAAGAAAAGTTATAGTGAATCTAGTACGAAATTGTCTCAGGCCGCAGCTTCATATCTCTTCACAAAACTGAGGTGAAATATGAAGAGAGAGAACAAGGATATACAGTAGAATGGCTTTTCCAAATTAACCCTCCTATGTGGGGGCTACACGCCCACAAGAGAGCAAACAAACACAGTATAAGGATCTATTCAATAGCTTAAATATGAGGCCAATCCACCACATCTTGAGGAGCAAGTTAAGATAATGTATCGAAGTATACTAACCGAGTCTGCAACATCTTTATGAACATGCTCAGGAAGCAAAGCAAGCACGGGAGGAAGAACAAAGCTTATACTCATCTGCAACTGCCCCTTAAGCCTGCTTCCTGATCCACGTCTGTCAGGGTAGAGAGCCCCTTTGACACCAAGTGTAAATTGAGATGGCTCCATAATATCGTCCAGTCCCTGAAGCTTCCATCTGACCTGTGAAATAGAAGTTTGTCTTCTAGGTCAAGTTGGGAAGAAACGATAAACGAAATGACCAAAACTATATTGAGTAGAGGCCAAAAGAGACTTGGGTCAAACAACACAAAAAGATTGAAATTAACCGATTTAGTTAGTTCAACTCAAGGTCTTATTGACCCATCATTATTTTTTTAATTATCCGATGTGAGGTGCTTAAACAATATGCGGAGTATATACTTACAATGTCAAGCTCAAGAACCTTAGAGACATCAGTTGGGACGCCGGATGGGTATCCAATCCCTTCGGATTTACATCTCAATCTCATGTCAACCACTGGCAGAGCAGATAGGAATAGGAACTGTACAGGTAGCATGTGAATTCTCCATTCTTCCTGAATGCAACTAATATTCAGCCATCAAAAATTACAGAATGTACACACTTCATAAATCATAAGCACAAGTTTGCACTTCTCAAGATGAAGACTATATGTATGCAAAATGCATGTCAGGCCCGCCCATTAGCAAGTTCAATAGGTGCAATAGAACAGGGCCTCTAAAATATAGGGGCCCATATTTTTTTATACCTCTAGCCCAATTATAATTATAAGTTACAAGCCCACTACCCTAATTACCTAATACTCCGTACTTCGTAGATTACTAAATCACCATTAGTCGTTCCAAGACTCATCGGTTCCTCCGATCCATGCTTGCCGCTGTCTAACGGAACCCTCATAGACTTCAACGCTGAGAATCTCCCTCCTTCGTATCTTCCCAATTGCGATTCCTCCTCCTTTAATACACTAAATATGCCATCTTCCTTTGCCAATTAACTCCTCAATTTTTTTGGTGAGTTCTTAATTTTTATGTTTCAGTTTTTTTTCAAAGATACCCTTTCATCCTTTCAATTGAAAATGGAAATCTCAATTTTGTTGGTTTTTTTTTGCACGGATGTCATAGTTTAATTAGGTGATTTAGATTTTTTTGAGAATTATTTTAGTGTTAGAAATTTATAATTTATTTTGCGCCTTAAAATCTTAAATGATTCATTTTTTGTTTAATTGTTTCTTGAATGTTGTAAATGGGTGTTTCTTCTTTAATTTTGCAAGACCAGTAGTTCAATTCTACCTTTGGTTTTAATCATTGATTTTTTTTCAGAATTAGAGAAAGTGGTTGAAGGCTATAGCTCATCATTCTTCAAAGATATCAAGATTTGGAATTACTCTCTTCATCCTGATTTTTTTGCTTCTTCCTAAATTTTATTCTAATATGCCTCCTAAAATAAGAAAATATGAATATGTAAAAAGAAAAAAAGGATTGAAGATTTAATAGAATCTCAAAAAGGAGTCCTTCATAAATTTCTTTTTCAGTAGTTTGTATAATTCGAAGTGTAAAAAAGTGTTGTAATATGTACTTCGTTCTTTTTCAAACAAAAATCTAAACGATTATTTTATGACCTTGAACCACTTCTTTTTTATATCCTAGAGCCTTGAATTATTGAGTTGCACAGGGTCATCCTAAATGATTGGGCGGCACTGATGCATGTAGTGTAGCAACTAGAAAGTTAGAGACCCAAAAAAGATTGCAATTTTCTTTCAGACCAAAAACCAGCATGTGCTTATATTACTCCATTGGAACTCTTCAAAGTGATGGAAAATTTAGCAGTTTGGTGCCATAAATTTCCATTTTGGAACATTAGCTGTTTGCCAAGTTTTGTTCCTACTTCCTAGGAATATCTTTTAAATGTCCTAATATACTGCATAATGTATACTGTATTGGACAATTCATGTCATTTTAATGTCCTAATATACTGCATACTGTAACAATTTTCACTCTCTCTAGCTTTCATCATTAAAAATTGGATGAAGTTTAGTTGTGGAACTAAAATTGATTATTCGGGATATGTGAGAGACCAAAATTGATGAATGTGATTATTTAAATATCAGAATTGATTTTGGCAGATAGGCACCAAAATTGATGAACATGGATACTTGAGGACCAAAACTGACTTTTTCCCCCTATTATTCAACACTATTCATATTCCCTTAAGCCTTGTTTAGGAACTTAAATTTGGATTTAAATTACAAATTTGAACCAAATCACTCCCCCTGTTAAAAAAAACTCCCCTTTTGATGTTTGACTGGGGTAAATTTGAATTCAATTTATTTCAAAATTGGTATGGAATTAAAAAATAAAATTAATATATTTTAAAACAACATAAAAAATTATACAAAACAAGAGGTGATATAACTATTTTATTATATCAAATCAGTAACAAAAATAGAGGGGGAAAAGTACATAAAGTTTTACCGTGTAAATAGTAACTATGCAAAGTTTTTTAATGAGAGGGAGGGAGTAATTTTGGGAATCCAAAATAATTGGAATTTTTTTAAAACATCCCAAATAATTGGATTTGGATTTGAACCAAATTTCTTAAATTCCCAACAAAGCTCAATTACAAATTCAGACTCTTTTTAGTTTGAATTATGGAATTTTAAATTTTAGAATATTCAGCACAAATGAAAAAGGACTTTGAGGTACCTCATTGAGTTGCTGGCTCCTCCTTTTGTCTGGAAATATAGCCTTGAAAACTCTGGGCTTATCCTCCAAATATCGATCGAACGAAGCCTGCATTTCCAAAAATGTCCAATTTGAACTCCAAGCAAAACTCATACAAATTAGGGTTTAAGAAAACAAAAACTTCATAGACGCGATTACCCCTGGCAGTTCATAGAGAGGAATGTTAGTGCTGATCTTGGAAGAGTAAGTGGAAGCAGTCCCTATCCGGGCCGCCATCTTCGCCGGATTCGGTCTCTGCTTTCTCCACAGAACACGGAAGTTCTCCTTCGGGCTCCGATCCTGATTCCGGCACCGCTCTGTTAAGAATCCGCCGCTCCGGCACGGCGGATCCGCCGCCACAGCCTCCCTCATTGGATTCCCTTTTAATTGAATCGAAGTTCAGAACCGCCGCAAGTTGAGAGAGTGACCTGTGGGTAGCGGATAAGGGGAGGGTGTGATTGAAATTTGAGAGTGGGGAGGAGCGATGAAGATGGCGACCGACAAACCCATATCAGAAGCGAAAGTGACATGGCAGGATCGGATTGGTGAGGTTTATCCATATTCTATTCAAGGTAAAAAAAGGCAAGAAAATTTTAAAAAAAAAAGTAAAAAATAAAAAGAAAATAAAATGAATGGTGTAGAGGCAAGTGGTGTACGGTGTACCCCTAGCATATCTCATTCAAAAATAATGAGAAATTTGTTTATTTGTATATTTTTCATTTATTATTTAATAAAATAAAATATTTTTGTTATTTTTATTTTGAAAAAAGTATGGAGTAGTTTTTAAATATTTAAGTTTTATTTTAAATTATATAATAATCTTTAAATTAAATAAATTGAAAAAAATTTTAATATTTTGTTTCGTTTTGCGTAGTATGACAACCATTTTGAGACGGAAGAATTATTATTATTTTATTGATTCTCTTCTTTTATTAGGATTAGAGTCTTGCTAACCACTACGTGTTTGGCAAGATTAGACATGTACCATATTTATATACTCTCTCCTTCCAAAATGTAAGCAACACTTTTTTTGGTAGTGTAAGCAACACTTTACTATTTAATAATCACGAGAACTTTTATTTATTTTTACATTTTTATTAGTTATTTGATAAAATAAAATATTAATGTCACCACTTATTTTTTCTAGAACTATTGACGTAATTTTTAAATATGTAAGTTCTATTTTTTTATTTGTAGACCAATCTTTAAATAAAATGGATTGAGAAAAATAAAAAAATTACTCCATTTAGTGTAATGTTGCTTACATTTTGGGACGGAGGGAGTATTTGTTATTCTGTCCTCCAATATGTACACAAGTAAAACTTTATTGTAATCTCCGGAAAATAAAATATAAAGACATACTCCGTATTTTCTTCATTACTCCGGTATTATATTACTCTTTTTCCTGATCCTTGATCTCGAACGAGTTTCATTTCCCCTACTGATGAGCATACACACAATCCTATTCCTACCGGCGCGATATTGTAATTTTTTTCCATTTTAATTTTTCCAATCGAAAGTTCTCCCTCAGTGAGAAATCATAGAGGTCGCTTCAACAAAGAACATATATGGCGTTGAAGAATCCCAACTAGCTATTAGTCATGAAGAAATCATCCGAAAAGCTAAGTATCGTCAAACGAAGTCGGACAATTCTTTATTTTGCAGGTAGGCGTTTAAGACATAGTTTTTAAAACCGGACCGGACCGGCCGGTTCGGACGGTGAACCGGCGAACCGGTGGTCCAACCGGTCCGGTCCGGCCCAATGGACCATAATGAGCTTCGAACCGGTCCGAACCGGCCGGTCAGACCGGTCAGACCAGTTTTTTTTTTTTTTTTGCAATTTTTCCAAAACTTCACTCCATGGGGGTTCAAACCCAAGACCCCTTTGCTATTTGGCTAAGTTCATAACCACCCAACTAACAATGCTTGTTGTTTTAGATTTGTATAATGTTTTATAATATTTCATAATTAATAAAAAGATTGCATAAAAATCCCTTTCCAATTTTAAAAATATAATGCGTAGTAGTTATATAGCTATGAGTTAAACACAAAATCATTGATATTTTTTTAAATAAAATTTTAATAATATTTTTTAATATGTAAATTTTTTCTTTTAATTAAGTAAAATAACTCAAATATATTAATACGAGTATAATTTTAGTCAAATATTATAAATTACTTTCTTTATGTATTTATATATGAGAATGTGTGTGTGTGTGTATATTTATATTTATTTATATTTATATAATTTTTAAATATGTTTAAACCACCGGTTCGACCAGTGAACCAGTACCTTGATCGGTTCGGTCACCGGTCCGGTTCTCAAAACTATGGTTTAAGGTGTTCAAAAATAGTGACACGATCCATGTTCGTTTGAATTCGGTTAAGGTTTGAAGAGAATGATGTTGCTTTCCTCACTTGATTAATATTACACGAATTCGGGAAAAAAAAGACGTGGATATAACTTTATATCGAAGGATTATCCAAATTAAACTAGGCTCCGTTTGTTATTTGGAATTCAAACTATGAGACTCCGTATTTGATAGAATAGATTTGGAATTAAATAAAAGGTTAATTAATCAAAGAAATACAAAAAAAAAACAAAAAACGTCGTCGTCATACGAGTTTTTTATGCTCAAAAAATTTCTTGAGATGCCAAATCTGAAGAGCAGCCACAGACATGCAAACCAGTAGAGACAGAAAACTAAAGGTTGCCATCTTTGTGTTTGTTGATCTTGTCAGTGCCTGCATTTCTTCCCCCCTGCATCCATTATATATATTTGCCCCAAATCAAACTAGTTTGATTTTTTTATATATATAAAAATAAGATAAATTTAATAAAATCATTTTGTACCGAGTGATATGTTCTGCTATACCTTTCGCGAAGGAAGAACATCTCGTCGTGGATGGTTAACACGGTGTCGAACATCTTTCTGAGCTCGAACTCCACTCCCTATTTATATATATATCCCAACCAATGAACCAAACATCAAAATCAATTCCAGTATGAGTAAAGAAATACTTCCTCCGTCTCATAAATGTTTTCGTGTTTTGACTTTTTTTTTCAGTCAAACAATGTCACTCTTACTGCAGGAAGAAATGATTATCTCATATAAGATCGGATAATGACGACGATGACTTAGTAATTAGGTTGTTGGGTTACTTGGATTTGGCGTCGCTTGGCAATTTTGGACCAGTCGATGGTGGCGTAACCGGACTTCCATTCGAAGTCGACGGAAACGGTGGCGGGGGGGATGTGTTGGGCAGCCCAGAAACAGATTTTGTATTCCCCTTTCTCGGCAGCCGTGAATGCGAAGTTGCCGTGGTCCGTGTCCACTGCGTAGTGATAGTACTGCCCCAATGGAGACGTAACCTGCCCGGCCAAATCATTTTTTTTCATATAAAATTTGATCATGTCAATAATAAATCACACGAATAAATGATAACTTTGATTTGAAAATATACTAAAAAAAGTAAGAATATGTTTTCACTTAGCCAACTTTAATCATCAATCGCATAAAAAATCTATCGAAGACTTATTCATGGGGAACTATCGAAAATTTATCCTATGACATTTGGAACCAATGTCATGCCCTGATCCGGAGTCCATACGGTACTCAGTTCGAAAAATCGATGATTCCTACTTCTAAAATGGCCCTCGCCCTGACCTGAACCTACACTCCGAATCCCGCCAATTACACCCCATAAAATTTAGTTGACTTTAGATCATGGCCAATTTTATTTTGAAAAAGTCAAATACTCTAAGACGAAGACAGCAGTATTGAAACTGAGATCTGGAAAATTAAGGGATAGATATGGAGGAAGGAGGGGGAAGAAAGAAATTAAAGGGAGGTTTTTTTTTTCTTTTTAAATTTACCCGGGCGGTGATCTTGTGGGATATGGGAGGGGGGAGATGGATGATGGGGTTGACGACGGAGTACTTTCCGATCGTCATACTATTCACATGCATCTCCTCCTTTACGCATTTCGACGTCCCCGATCTCACGTCTATCCTCAGGCCCATAGCCGCCTCTGCCGCCACCAGCACCGCCACTATCGCCGCCGCCATCACAACCTCCGCCGTCCTCTTCTTCATTCTTCCTAGCTAGCTTCAGACCCACCACTGCATATATATGTGCACAACAGGCCAATTTTTTGATTTGATCAAAAATTTGCCTCACATTATTATCTCTTACTCCCTCCGTCCCTGAGTATTCGTTCAGTTTTGACTTTTGGAACTGTTCATCTAAACACTTTGACTCATCAAATTCTCTCAATGTGTAAGCCTAAATATAGTCATGTGTGATCTTGTTTGATTTGTCTTAACATATAGATTATTAATATATAATTTCTATAATTTTTTAATATACAAATTACAAGATAAAATGAGTTAAATAAGTGTATTGGATGGTGTGTAAAAATGAAAGTGGACAAATACTCTAGGACGAAGGTAGTAATTATTAGTGTTATAACTACCTACCTCCTACTCCTATTTCTTTGCAAGTTTGTTACACTCTTTAGAAGCTAGCATGCATCCTTTCCTAATTACTATTTACTATTACGCCATAACTCTTACGGAGTATTTGTTTGTGTATTTTCATTGATCATTTCAATTCATAAAATAAAATATTTTTGTCACATCCTATTTTGTAGAGTTTTCAATGTAGCTTTTAAATACAATTTTTTTTATATGTTACTCCCTCCGTCCCAGAGTATTCGTCCAGTTTTGACTTTTGAAACTGTTCATCTAAGCACTTTGACTCATCAAATTCTCTCAATGTGTAAGTCTAAATATAGTCATGTGTGATCTTGTTTGATTTGTCTTAACATATAGATTATTAATATATAATTTCTATAATTTTTTAATATACAAATTACAAGATAAAATGAATTAAAGAAATGCATTGGATGGTGTGTAAAAATGAAAGTGGACAAATACTCTGGGACGGAGGTAGTATTTCTTTACCAATTTGCAAATAAAGTAATTTTAAAAACCACAAGGTTTTGCAAGTTAATCAAAGTAAGAAAATCTTTTTGGGACGAAGGGAGTATTTGTGTGTGCTTGCCTGTATAATTAGTGCCTAATTAGTTAATGTTGTTTCCGTCCACTATTCATATGATCAAATTAGAATTATTTTGTTTTACGGGAGACTATTTAGAGTACGCACTTCATAACATACGGAGTATATAATACTCCCTTCGTTAGTAAAATCTGTTCTTATTTACTATTCAAGACATCCCAATAACTTTTGTTTGCGTGTATTTTTTAATAGGAAATAAATATTGTTATTAATTGATTTCTTTATCATATTGCTTCTTAATTGTTATTCTTTTATGATTAGGATTTCTTGTATGCCAGTATATAGGGATGGAACATTCATTGTTCAATAACACCAATTAAAATATTCATTATTCAATGACAAGATAAAATATTCTTTTAATTGTGGAGTAATTTTTTCGGGGATTTGTTAACTGTGGACCAATGAACCGAGAAGTGGCTGATGCTCTTTGGGCTCTATCTTCTTAGA